ACACACACACACACACACACACACACACACGTGCACTATGTGCTGAGCTCCCTAATACTTTGAGTCCATATCCCATGGGTGTGAGAACAGACTAAACATGCTCAACATTTCTTCCAGCCTAGGCTGCCATTTGATCATGTCTGCCAGTTATTCTCTCGTCTCAAAAGGAAAGACATTAAAAGAAAAGTTTGCAGAAACCCTGCTGTGCCTGGGCATGCTCATATCTGCCTGGGCATGCTCACATCTGCCTGGGCATGCTCACGTCTGCCTGCAATCTTACCACTTGGGTATCAGAGGCAGGTGGTTCTCTCTGAGTACAAGGGCCAGCCTAGTGGTCTACACCAAAAGTGCCAGACCTGTCTCAGTCCTATCTCAACAACAATTACAAAATTAGTTAATTATATAATTAAAACAAGAAAAAGAAAAGGCTTCTGGATGTTTGGAATAATCCCATACACTGTGAAAATGTGTTGTTCTTATTGTTAATAAAAAGCTGATCAGCCAGTAGCCAGGCAGGAAGTATAGGTGGGACAACCAAACTAAGGACTGGGAAGAAATAGGGGCAGAGTCAAAGGAGGTGCAGCAGACACAGAGAAAAGCAAGATGGGTGTGCCATACTGAGAAAAGGTGCCAAGCCACAGGGCAAAACATAGATAAGAAATATGGGTTAATTTAAATGTAAGAGTTAGCTAGTAACAAGCCTGAGCTATTGGCTGAGCATTTACAACTAATATTAAGTCTCTGTGTATGTTATTTGGGAACTGGCAGGTGGGGAAAAAGTCCGCCTACACCTGGGTAAGAGCTGAGGACATGATTTGGCAGCAGCACTTGCCTAGCATGTTCCAGGTCCTGGAGTCAACTACTGCCACCCCAGGAAAGAGAGGAAAGGAGGAAAGGATGGGAGGGAGGGAGAAGAGAATGGAGCAAGAAAGGAGTAAGAAAAAGAAAGAAAGCCAGCTACATAAATATTATAACTATTAGCTGTCATTAGTATTTATATATTTCCTTGATAATACCTTTCTGCCAACACTGTCAGCTGTGGTTCCTTGTTTGCGTAGTTCCTTCCTTCATTTGTATTTAGTGGTGTATAGATATCCCTGCAACTAACTCAGATCCTTAGCAGAAAACTAAACAGGAAGAAGTTCCTAGTCTTAGTGATTTGATAGCATTAGCCTTAAATGTCTAAAAATTTCCAAGACTAGTTTTGGTCAGTAGAAGACAGAATGCAATCCAGTAGAGCTCATTCTCATACCAACTGGCCACCTCTAGCTAGGCAGTGTTTGGGGAGGGGGTGGGGTGAGCATGCGCATGGGAGCTTCTGGAGACCAGAGGCGAAGTCAGGTGTCTTCCTCACTTGCTCTCTGAACTGATTTGGCTCTGCTGGCTGGCCCGCAAACCCAGGGCATCTTCCCGAGTCTGCCACCCCAGTGCTGGGACCACAGGTGAGCACGGCTGAGTCTGGTTTTTTTTTTCCTTTCCCTTCATGACTGCTAAGGTCCTCAGGCTTGTGAGAACCACTTACCTAACTGGCCATCTCCCCAGCCTATCACTGGCCTTATTTACTGGCCACAGATAATCTCTATACTCTGATTAGTCACTGGGTTGTCACCATTGTCACCAACAGGGTAGGGAGGGAGGCACAGCACACACTCACACATACCTAAGAGGAGAAAGGACAAGAAGGGCATGCCTTCCTGAGTGACAGCGGTTAACTGATGAGGTATCTTTGATGGGACTATCAGCACAGATGTCAGCACTTACATGGTCACTTGTCATTAGTAATAAACAGCAGGGAACATTTTCTAAGAAAGCAAACCTACCTGTCTCCCCCAGCACAGAACTCCCTCTAGGACACAACACTGTGACTGATTCGGCCTTTCTGGACTCTCTGGGGCAGTGGCTAACTGTAAATGGGGATAATTTAGATAACCAAGCTTTTAGCAGTCGATAGGGATTGGAATGAAAGGCTCAGAAGAGCAGCCACACCAGGAACTGCCTTTTGAGTGGCAGTTATCATTGCTATGACCATTCTGTTCCTGCTCCTACGTGACCATTCCTGTCACCACTCCAGGACACATCAGCTCAAGCTTTCTTCGGATTCTTCCGAGCTGGTAAGGGTGTGGTTTGTTAAGCCCCGACAGACTCTCGGTTTTTGCGATCCTGGGAAGTTAGTTCTTACTGTCATTCTGAAAACAGTGAATTCCCTGGGTGGATGGGATTGCTCTGTTCCTCCATGTTTGGTGTATGAGAACAAGGCCTATGTGTGCCAGTGTCTTGAGCAAGCAGGGTGAAGGGCAAGAGCCGTGGGGTTAAGGATGGCAATGTTTACTCTAGTCCCTAAATAAAATCTGACAGGACCACACGCTGTGGATCAAGCCTCCCAGGCCTTGTACAGCAAAGATGAAGGCCGAGGGAAAGGGGAGTGCTCTAAAGTATGAATGGGATTCCGTGATTAAGAGAAATGCGCCAGCAGAAAGCCCTCCAACAGCACAGCTGCTCGAGCTACTCCTGTCTCCCCTCCGAGCCTTTCCTTCTGGCGCCATCGGATTCACAGTGTTTCCGGTGCGGCTGGCTTGAGGTGGGATAGTTTGCCCGTGGACTGTCTCCAACCTTGACTTAGATTCACTCTAAAAGAAAAACTAGCATTGCACACTTCTGGGTCATCGCTTGGTCATAAACTGCCTCATGGGCATGGGACATCTCCAGCACCGGGAATGGAAACCAGATGTGGGATAAAAATTAACCAGTTCAAAGCTCAACTTGAGATACGATGGTATAGAACCAGGCAAATGCTGATGTTTGCTTAACCTGAGCCAAAAATGCAGTAAGATAGGGTGTGCGAGACCAGTCTGTCAAGATGATGAGAACTCCAGGACTGTTGTAAGGTGCAAGTCTAGATCGCTTAGATAGTTCAGCCCTGGTTTTCAGATATTGAACACTCGCTGCATAGTCTTCATACTCCTTCCTTATGTTTGGAGAAAATACACGTAATTTCATGTGTATATGCTCTAGAAAAGCCCCTAAAATCTGGTTTGTAGGTATTTTCCCTATATTATTATTATGTTAGTTGTCATTTTGTTGATTTCTATTTTCAACCAGAGGTACTTTGTTACTCTGTTTTCATTGCTAGATGAGAAAGCTCAGAAGTACAAAAGAACGAGATGAGATTGCCAGAACTCATAAGATAAGGCTTGAAGGTTTATGCATACTCACTCAGCACAGATAAGTCATCAATGAGTGAAATGACTTTGATATTTTTCTTTAAAAATCACCAGGTATCAATAATCAGATTAATAAATGCTCTCTTTAAGATTTAAATTAATAGTATGTAGCCAGGCATGGTGTCTCATGCCTTTAATCTCTGCACTCAGGAGGCAGAGGCAGGCGGATCTCTAAGTTCAAAGCCAGCCTGGTCTACAGAATAAATTCCAGGACAGCCAGGGCTACACAGAGAAACCCTCTCTAGAACCCCACTCCATTTAAAAACTAATAACTACACAACAGCATGGCCATGTGCAGTGGGAGCATACACAGTGTATCACAGCATGGCCGTGTGCAGTGGGAGCATACACACAGTGTATCACAGCATGGCCGTGTGCAGTGGGAGCATACACACAGTGTATCTTGCAGTACAGGAAAGCCAGAGCAATCTTGGTCTTTTTAGGAAGCTAAAGTTGCCTGGTGGATTTGAGGTTAAAGGAAGTACCTGGTGAGGTGGGGACAATAATGTAACTGTGGCACTGTCTGAGGGGTGTAAAGTACAGGGTTACAATCTGAAATGGCTCACAGCCTTCACTTTACAGCATCAGCTTCAGCATAGACAAGAAATAGCAAGAGTCTTTAAGTTTAGCCCCTTAAAGGCAGGCACACACACACACACACACACACACACACACACACACACACACACATTTCTGCTTCCCTTTTCTCTCCATCTTTAAAAATAATAAAAAGAAAAAGATGATAGAAGATGCTGACCACTGCCTGTCCCATTGGGACACAAAGAGAAGAGAGGCAATGATAGACACATATTAGCATATATTAGCATATTTTAAAACATTAGTTCATCCACTTGAACCGAAGCATGCTTACACATACAATGCAGAGAAGCCATAGTTCCCAAAGGCACATGCTTTCAAACAGTGTCCAATGGAACCCCTCTTGCAGAGTGGTCTCATGCCAGATGGCTCCAGGGCGAATGAACAGAGGCAAAATTGCTCCCTACCTCTGTAACTTTAGGAAACTGAGAGAGCTATTCTCTTGGCACTTAATTTTATTGGCTTCATTTCTTTATTATTATCAACACGACTTTCATGTCTTACACATCATACTCCAATTTTACAGTCATTTATTTTTAGGGTGACCTCATATTTTAGGGAGCTACTTGTGAATGAAAACAACAGCAAACCAGTGAGAAATTGGGTCTGCTCTGAGCCCACCGGGATGCTCTATCCACATCAGTTGTTCTGTAGGTATTTCATAAGGCCGTCTAGAAAAGCACCAGGGTTTCCAGAGTAAAAATGAAATGACATCTGATCCACTGTAACTCTGAGGAGTAGGCCCCAGGGGAAACTGTATCCAGCAAGTGGAATGAGAGAAAATAGGGCTTGCTAGAATACAACACACTGCTTAGCTCAAAAACTAAAATAAAACCATTATGCATAAAATCAGAGTTCTGCCTAGCTGTACTTGAAGGACACAGAGAAAGTCATGACAAAATAAAATTAAATTAAATTAAAAATGCTTACAAACAGTTACAACCCTTTAAATTACGACTCCAACACACATATGCTATTTCCTCTTGGCTCCATTTAGATTGACAGAAAAGTATCTTAGTCAGAAGAATGTAACGTCCAGCCCCACAGGGTCAAGGGACTCAAAAGTGATCTTCTCTAAAGCAGCAACAGCACAAGCCTCCTCCTGTCTCCTGTCGGTCACCATCTCCCTGCCGTCACAGAAAGAAAATCTGACACAAAACAGAAAGTTCAAAGCGTACTAACCTGAGACCCCTGGCAAATAGAGTCGCTCCATTTTGCTCTAAAGAACGAATCCTTTCTATAAACTAATGTCCAAAGCAGTTGAAAGTCGAGATGGGGGGAAACTGTTACCCCAAGAATCCACATAAACAGGGAAAGCCGTCCTGTTCCAGGCTCAGCTTTGGCAGGCTCCCTAAAAGCAATTCAAGTCGGCCACGCCCACAGAGCACTTTAGCCTATAAGCTTCGGTAATGAACTCGAAACCACACCCCATATGCTAAATAGACCCTGCTGTGTGAAAGAAAAGCCTCGCGGAGAAGGAGCTAAGGCCCAGACTTCAGTTTTGCACTGGTTGCCTAAGAAAAGCCGTACACACATTTAAACAAAGAGAACTCTCATCCCCTTGTCTCCCCCATACACCGCATTAAGGGCTGATTCACGTTAAACAAGGGCAATACAGTCTCCCCTCCACTGGGGCCATGAAATGACTTTTATAAGTGCTGATCATGAAACCATACAGCACTGTAATTTCACATTTTATAAGAGAGATGTATGGCGTTATTGTTTCTGAGAATAAAACTCATACTATCACTAGCTTTCAATTTTCACATAATATAGAAGAAACTTAAAACCACATTACTTAATACTGTTCACAAGGAAAACCTGTCAAAGGACTTCCTAAGTCAGGTCTGCAAATATAAGTCAACTTTGTCACACCAGTTCATCATTTACGAAAAAGATTTGTTTCAAGGGGCCAGGATGACAGTTCATCCAGAAGGGCACTTGCTGCCAACCTGATGACTGATCAGGACCAAATGTGAAGGAGAGAACTGACTCCCAGGGCTCATCCCCTGACCTTCACAAGGTCAAACTCACTCCAATGCATGTGGATTCACAAAAGATAAAATGTTAAAGAGATATTGTTATCTTTATTATTATTATTATCTTTCAATATCATACACTATGGTCTCAAAACAAACAATCTAAATTTAGTTTTCATTCTACAAAAATGTAATTGATAATTTTCAAGAGGATAAACCATAAAACAGAGTCAATATAGTTCCACAATACTGCTCACTCAGCTTTTTAACATAGTGCACTCACAATAAATACAATTGACCCTTACTTTTCAACCCCAGGAACAATGTCAATTTCAAGGACTTGCTACTTTCTTATAATAAAGTTCTAATTAATTTGAATAAGATCTACTTTAACATAATGGATCCAGATTTTCTCCATACTGTAACACAGACTTTAAATAGGACAGGAAAAAACTGATTTACTCATTGCCAAGCAGACTTACATGGATTTCTGCTAAAACTAAGTTACTCAACACCTACGCAACGTAAGGGATTTGAGCACATTAGCTCAACAATGGCAGGCAGGAAAACCTAGACACAGCTCAGACCTACCAGCCACCTCCATCTCCCTCACCAGGCTAGGGTTTAACAGGAGAATCCCGGCACTGAGAGGAAAACCAGCCTCAGGCAGGTAAGTAGCTAGTGGTTTAAAAAGAGCCAGTACCCCACCTGCTGGCAGAAACAAGAGAAGCCAGGACTGTTGTAACAGACCTCAGGGGAAGTCTGGGTGTTGGAAGAACAGGAAGGAAGAACCAGTCACAACATTGATGTCACAGTGATGTGCTGTTAGGAATCATTAAGATTTTTCACCTACAAAAGTAGAATATTTCTCCAGAATGTTGATGCCAAAACATAGTTAAACATAAAGCCATCTCTTTTATGTGGCTCTAGCTGGCCAACATATTTGATGATTTGTATTCCCATGGACACCTCTATCTTGTAATAATTTTTTTCTCCCCTACAAGTCATGTTGTCGCCCCGGCACCAGCTTTGAAACAGAAATGCACAAATAGACCCCAATGCAGCGGATGAGCTGGTGGTGGGACTGTGCCTCCTTCATTCTGTAAACCCATTCTGAAACCCATTCAGCTCTGGGTTTCTTAGAACCAGAGGGTGTGGTAGCTCTCCTGCCATCCTAGCACTTGGGAGGGAAGAGGAGGGGGAACCCGAAGCTCGAGGCCATCCTCAGCTACAAAGTATGACGTCAGCCTGGGCTACTCCAGACTGTCTCAATGATGTGGGGAAAGAGATTCAGTCTGGGGACGACAGCTCAGTAAAGTACCTACTGTGCAAGCACACGGACCTGGGTTCCAATCCCAAGACCCTACATAAAGCTGGACATGGTAGCACATGTCTATAATCTCTCAGGGACATGGGAGTGAAAAACAAAGAATCCCAAATAGTTCAGGAGCCACCAGCCAGACACACAGCACACTGGGGTGGGGGCCAGGGGGACAGAGACTTTTTCTCAGGCTAGGTGGAAGTAGAAAATAAAACCCATGCCTGAGGTTGTCCTCTGACCTCCACGGGTGTGTCCAGGAGTGTGCTTGCCTTTAGTGTCATATAAGTTAATGTTTCTAAAATCCAAGCCTGGTGGCAACTTCCATGAGGGTGAAAATACTTAAACCCCAGCAAAGTGAAATTACACTGGGATGCAACGTCTAAACAAGCTCAAGATTCGACTAAAATGGGCAATGCAGGTATCATTGAGGATCCTGCTGAGTTGGGGATGGATGCCAGGTGCCCACTGCAAAACTGGACCTGGTGAACTCGAGCAGGCAGAGCTGTCCACGGGTGAGTGTCTTGACGCCACACAGCCAGAGTCAGGCCTAGAGAGAAAGTCACGGTCCTAACCACGAGCTTCTGACCCTCCACATCTAGGGGTCAACCAACCTCAGATGGAGAACAGTTGTGAGGAAAACATGTCTGTACTAAACATGTCTGAACTTTTTCTTGCCATTATCCCTAAGCAATTACAATTTAACAGCATAATTGCTGTTATAAGGTAAAACAGCCACTCCATGACATAGCAACTCTTTAAATAGCACATATATTACATCATGTATCATAGCAAACCTTCCTCTTTCCAGAATTCTCCTACTCTGACTCTCGAGCTCGATCTCTTCCTCCCCAGCCATCAGCAAATCAGCTTTATTATTAACAATGAGCATAATCCACATCAAGTGCCTGCATGGTGGCTCACAACCATCTGTAATTCCAGTTCCAGGGGATCCAATGCCCTCTCCTCGCCTCTGAGCACCCACATAGTGCACAGACATGCATGCAGGCAAAACACCCATATACATAAAAATAAATAAGGCTGTACAGGGGACTGGGGGCTGAGAAAATGGCTCAGAAGTTAAGAGTGCTTCCTGATCTTCCACAGGACTTCAGGTCAGGTCTCAACACCCACATCAGGGGGCTCATGGCCTCCAAGCCTCCCCCGTTTCACACATCACACGTTCATACACACACACACACACACACACACACACACACACACACGCACGCACGCACGCACGCACGCACGCACGCACTCACACACACAAATCTAAACCCATTTGAAACATAGAAAAAGAAGGCTGCAGAGCTAAGCCTGATAGCACCATGCTCCCTCAGGAACACAGATCTGAGCTGAGCTGAGCTGAACTGAGCAGAGGATTAACATTGTTCATAGAGCAAAGTAGCACAAGAAGAACAGGGTGGAGAACAAGGAGAGCCAGGGTGGCCATGAACAGCACAGTTGTGGAAGGCCAGGTCCTGCTGACTCCCAAAGGTAAGGTCCAGTATGGCCCCGGAGGCTCCTGCTCCAGTCCTGTACCTAGGCCAGTGTGCAGCTGGAAGCCCCGACCAAGAACAGCCTGTGGAGGAGGGTTTGACTCCAGCTAGCCCTAGGCTTCTGAGGTTCCTGTAGGCCACCCTTGGGTTTCTGAGGCTCCTGTACTCAGTCTTTGGGTTTCTAAGGCTCCTGTAGATGGCCCCAGGGGTCTGAGGCTCCTGTAGATGGCTCTAGGGGTCTGAGGCTCCTGTAGGCCGCCCTTGGGTTTCTGAGGTTCCTGTAGGTGGCCCTAGGGTTCTGAGGCTCCTGTACTCAGTCTTTGGGTTCTGAGGCTCCTGTAGGCAGCCCTTGGGTTTCTGAGGCTTCTGTAGGCAGCCCTAGGGTTCTAAGGTTCCTGTAGATGGCCTTAGGGTTCTGAGGCTCCTGTACCCAGTCTTTGGGTTCTGAGGCTCCTGTAGATGGCCCTTAGGGATGTGAGGTTCCTGTAAGCGGACCTAGAGTTCTGAGACTCCTGTAGGCAGCCCTAGGGTTTTGGGGCCCTCAGACAAAATTTAGGATCTAGGTTTGAAGTTTGTTTTATTTTCATTGATCTTGAACTGAGATTTAGTATTTCCCTCAATAACAAATGTTTGCAGCCATGCACCAAATTCAGGCCAGGGAGATGGCTCAGCCAGTAATGGTGCTTGCCATTAGTCCTGACCACCTGAGGTCAATCAGGGACCTACGTGGTGGAGGAGACAGGTGACTCAACATAGCTGTACTCGACTTCTGTATGGGTGCCGTGACCAAATAAATAAATCAATGTAGTTTCTTGATTTAAAAAGAGCATCCTTTCCTGTGACTTGTCATTAATTGAAGTCAAAGATGATTTCAGGGCATGTCACAGCTGTCACTAAAATCTCAGAGTATTGTTCCCATGCATCATACGTTCCCAATAGTGTGGTCTTTAGACTCACCACCTCAAGGCCACTGTGCACTTTAAACAAGAGGATCCCACAGGATTTGATTGCAATATTTATTTCTTATCGTATCTGCGACTCTCAGTTACTGAGTTACTTTGTAGTCCTAGGCACTTTAACACATTCAATTCTATGCAGTAATAGAGCTAATGAATCTCTTTATTCTCTTTGAAGAGATTCATCAGCTCTACTAGAATGTCAAAGGTCCCCATGGCACACAGAAAGTGAAGACATTGATCTGTAGGGCTGGGGTGGTTCAGCTGGTCGAGGACCCATGTGACACGTATGTGGCTCAGCATGTGGCATGTACGTGGTCTGGGTTCGGTCCCCAGCAAGACATAAACCAGTTGAGGTAGTGCATGCCAGTAACACCAATACTCTAGAGGGAAGAGCAGGAGGATCAAAAGGTTAAGGTCATGTGGTGTGGAGGAGAATGACTGGAATTCCAGCACTTGAGAGGGAAAGGCAGGAGTTCCAGGAGTTCAGGGACAGCCAGAGCTACAAACAGAAATCTTGTTGGGGGGGTGGAGGAGGATAGAAAGAAAGAAGTTTAAGGCCATCCTGAGCTAAATACTAAGTTCAAAGAGGTT